ATGTCAATTAATTAACCAACTCTTAATTAAGCCTAAATAAGGCTACTATGACCCCACTAGTTTATTTGTTTTGCACCCTCATTTCCTTAACTTCAAGCTCCAAATGTGAGAGAGAGAGAGGAGGAGAGAAATTAGGATCAAAGCTAGAAAAGAGGGAGATTGCTAGAAATTGTTGAAGAATTGAAGAGCATTTAGAAGTTTGAGTCCTTACATTTGTGAATTCAAGGTTTAAGGTAAGAGATTAAGCCTTTGGTCTTGCTTTTGAGTTGATGAGTTTATGAATATGAGAGGTTTAAGTGTTTAACTTGAGAATTGAGTTGATTAATCTAAGAATTGAGTTAGAAATGAAGAGTATTGAGCCATACCATGCATACATGCATATTTTCTCATATTTTGAGTTTAATTTCCAAGAATTCCCTTATGCATGTCTTGAATTCATCTTAATTTTGAGAAATCATCAAGCTTCATGTTGTTTTGTAGCATTTGATCATGTTTTGAGAAGATTAAGTTCAAAGAAATTTATGCATGTCATGTTCATGGAGCATTCATAAATTTTAAGTTGAATTTTTGCACAATTGGCAAGCTATTGGCCCATGATTTCTTGAAATGATCCTTAATTCATGATGCTTTATGAGTCTCTCAATGTTTCCTCAAGTTTTGGCCCAAGAAGATAAGTTTTGGGATGTAGAATTCGAGCTTGGAGTTGGGGAGTGCAATCTGGAAATTCCAATTTTTGCACTTCGCTCGAGCGTCGGATTCTACGCTCGAGCGACGACCCTGTAATCTTGCACTTCCGCTCGAGCGAGAGCATGAAATGCATGCTCCCAGAAGTTTATGTGTTTTTGTAGATCGAGCGACGAAAGTCATGCTCGAGCAAAGGTTTAAGTTTCACGCTCGAGCGGGGATCGAACGTTCGTCGAGCATGAAAATCAAGCAACCAGTACTTTTTCAAAGTTTGCAGACCGCTCGAGCGAAGGAAGTTACGCTTGAGCGGACCCTCACATTTTGCATGCCCGCTCGAGCGAGGAAAGCCACGCTCGAGCGTGGGCCTTGTTTTCAGCAAGTTTTGAAAAATATTTTCAAGTACATTTTTGCATTCTCATTTCATCCTAGGCATTCCTAGGCCAAGATCAATACACCATGATGAGGATAAAGGCAAGAAACACACCAGGAACAAATAAAATAAGTTATGTACAATCCGAGCGTGTGTTCCAATGTATGTATCTGTTATGTTGTATAGGTCACGAGCCTTAAGTTAAGTGAATTGCCTACTCTACTCATCCATTTGGAGCCACTGGTTATCTGTGAGTAATAACTTAGTAAAGCTATGTTCAAGTTAAATTATTTTATGTATATAGACTAAGATCTGTTTCATGAATGCTATCTATTTACACTATGAATAATTGTCCACCTCTGACATATATATATGACATTAATGTTATGATTCAAGTATGCTATCTGTACCCGGACCGGAGGTTCCTTAATGGAACTGGCACTTTATCTGTACTTGGCTAGAGGTTCTTTTTATGGAATTGGCAAGTTATCTGTACCTAATCTGGAGGTTCCTTTATGGAACTGGCAAGTTATCCGTACCCGGCCCTATAAATTGAAGCAGCTGTGAGAGGGGAGAGAGAGAGAGTACTTTGAAATAGTTTATATTAGGGAGAGGCGTTCCCTCCTGTTTTTATAGAGTAACCTAAAAACAAGACCAAAGAAGGCTTCTTCGAGACTGGGCAGTGCAGTAGAGTAGGGTGTGATGTGGGATGTGTGTGGTGTGTGTGTGTCCCGTTAGAAGCCTAATGAATCTCTAGAGACATGATTCGGGGATCCTCGAATGTTTACCAACTTTATCTCCCAACTAATTCCAAATTTTAAAGTAACAATTCAAAATGTAACATTTTGATATTTCCTTTAACCTTTAATCAAAATTTACTTAAAAGTCTAATAAATAAAATCTTAAAGATTTGATCTCCACATCAAATTAAATTTTATTTTTTAATCGTTTCAATTTAAATTTTAAAATAATATCAATTCTAAACATTTGTTTGTATTTGTTAATAGGGAATTAGCAATTTAGATTATTTAATCATTTTTTTCCCCTTAATTACTGTTGACGATCGCTTTTCACCTTTATAGTTGTCCATCACCATCTCTGTTTTTCCCTAATCTACTATCACCCCTCTTTTGCCCATTCACCGCTACTACTTTCCTTCCCTACCCAATTCATTGACATTCTCATTTCTTCCCCAATTTATAGCCACCGCTACCATCTAGCATCACCGACAAAAAATAGTTAAATTGTCTAAAATATCCTTGCTCCATTGATGGTTTGAATTAATATAATTTTAAAAATTCATTCTAATTTAAAATTGAAATAATATAAAATATATATATATATATATATAGGATTTTATTTGTTACTAGTGCCAATCATAAATTATTTTTTATAGTTTGTCTAAATTTATTTATTTAATTGATTTGATTTGATTTTATTTTATTTTATTTTTTTTGAGAAGCAAAAACATGCAATATATTAAAAGGAAAACAAAATACAAGGAAAAAAAATTATTACAAACTACAAAAAGCCTACATTGATATTTGGTAGACAAGAGCAAGGATCTCAAAAAATATTATTTATTTATTATGCGAACCCACTTTAAGAAGTTTGTCTACAAATTTGAAAACACAAACTAAATTAAAAATTATATATAATAAAATAATAAATTTAACATATTAATTGTAGTACTTATTTTTTAGAGGATGTTAAATTATTACTGAGAGGAGGATTTGTGCCAAATAATGGCCAAGCAAAATCAACGCAGTAATTTTGTTGGGCCAGGTAGGACTAACACGAAATATGGTGTTGGGCCAACACAGAACGTGGTGCTAGATTGGGTTTAACTGGGCCAACATGGAGCGTAATGTTTGGTCGAGCTATCTAAGGTGACACGGCTATATACGTCATGGTTGGGTTCACCGATCGACTGAGCTGGCGATGGATGGATCGAACGAAGAGAGCGAACGGACCGCATTAAGGCTGTGGTATACGGCCAAGTTGATAATGGTCACACTTGTCAACAACGTAAAGGTGTTGACTAAGCGCGGCGTCGATCTAGGGTATACCTTAGCTCGGCATCAGTATGTCCAGAATCAATATCTTTAGTGCAACCCAAGTATAGCACAATTAGGTATTCCACGTGGACCAATGGAAAGGAAATCGCTCTGGGTGTACGTCAATACTGTTTGGTAGTATTCATATATACACTTGTGAGGAATGAAGAGGGTAGTATAGCCACACATCCAATAAAGGACAACAGAGGTAATGTGCACACAATCTAAGGCTGCATGACCAGCCTAGAAAATGAGGCGCAATCAGACTCAAAGGGGTAAGCAACTTTTAGCCACTCTCTCTCTACAATGCTCTGTATTTTCTCTTCTTCTCCAAGAAAGCTACCTTGACAGTCGGAGGGATTTTCCGATAACCCACTCATCGGGTAGCTCATCCTTGTTTGTTCGCAGTAAGACAGAGTTCCATCAAATTTAGAAGAGCTTGGTAACAAGGAATACGGAAGGCGACGAATATTTTCCCCCTATACAATTACATAAGTTTTTAATAAAAATGGTATAACTTCTCTTAAATTGATCATATCAACTTAAGAGAGCATTTGATTATAGTAAGCCCATTCTGAAATCAATTTTGGTAATTTGAACCATTCGCTTTGTAGGACTCGTTGAGTAAAATATTTATGTAAAAAAATAATATGATCAGATATCAATAGTTATATGTTTGAATTAAATTTGTATTACAAAAATAGATGATCATTATCGAAATTATATTTATCGACTATTTTTTTAAAACAAATATGACTTAAACATATAGCTACCGATATCTAATAATTTTGATTTTTTTGCATAAATATTATACTCAACGAGCCGTAAAAAATGAACTATTTAAATCACCAAAATCGATCTCAAAACGAGCTTGCAAAGTCCAAATACTATTTCAAATTGACATAAGACAACTTAAAAGAAGTCGTACCCGTAAAAAGATTTATACATCATAACATTTGAAGGTTTGATTAAAAATACGAATAATGTTATATGCACCAATTAGTATACTAAATAGTATACCAATTGATGATGTGGCATAATTTAAGTGATTTTTGATATTTGTACTGTGATTAATAAGTGGAGTCAATAATAATGTCATAACTGGTGTTAATACGCTAGTTGGTATATTAATTAGTGCATGTAGCACCACTGTTAAAAATACTCTTAATCACCTTGTGCCATTAAAGAGGACCAAGTTCCTCCGTAATTCAGAGATTTTCGAACTATACAGACTTCTAAGGTGACTTCTACAAAATATTAAGGCCAATAAAACTTATTTATTTTCTCCAGAAGTATATTAATACACCACTTATAATGTCTCGTTGAATATGCACATTATTCTCATCATATACTAACGACTCTTTGAAACATGCACACCGCTCTCATCATATAGTTCACTTTGAATGATTTTTATATATGAATGAAATATGTCTATATAATACCTTCCATTATTATGATTGGTAAAAAATAATAAAATATAGGCTATATTATTGAATGTTTAGGGAACACTAGAGCCATATATATTTGTGAGTATAGAAGGATAGTGATACTTGTACCCTATACAAAACTTTTTCACTTCATAGAGATATTGGTTTAATATTTCCCCCCCAAAAAATAAAGCACATATGTACACAACACAAGCATATCCCATTACTCCAAGCACTTGTAATTCAATGAAACCTTCTAAACACTCTAATACAACAAGCAGAGAATTTAGGATGATGACATAGCTTCATTGATCTCAGTTTGTTCTCTTTCTCCATACGTTTAGGCCCTATATAAATTGTAATTTGAATACTCAAAAAGCATATACAATGGCGAAACTAAAGTTTAAAATAGAGATTTTGGATATAAATTTAACCCAGAAGATCAAAGGACAAAAAAAGAAAAAAGACAGAGACTCCAAAAAGACTAATATTCCAAATATACCCCATATTCTTGACACAAAAAATAGCTTGAAGGAAAATGGCATATTACAGAGTCATGGCCAACTATAAAAAGGAAAACAGGGAAGAAAATAAAAGATGAAAGCACAGAAGGGGTGTGTCAGTCTATACCAAACATGCACACTTACGTAGAATGTCCTTTACAAGGGGCATTGTTTGCTATAGACCTTGAAAATTTTAAATGAGCAGGTTACTCAAGTACAACATTTCCAGAGCTCTTAAAACTACCTCAAAATGACTTGCAGACACGGTAATGCTGTGCCGCCACCCCTTTGTCTTTTCCTATATTCACAGCCTCTAGCCCCTTGTAATATAGGTTCACGTTTGCGCAAGGCCGGTTACCTCTTCTCTGTTTCTTCACTCTCTCCATGTCGACGACAATCCAAAACACACGATGAAGATGATGATGCAACTGCCTTTCCTTTGTAGTCAGAAGATGCTGTCACAGTTGTGTCCATGCTTTTCTCAGCTCTTGAATTTTGTACAAGGTGGAGCTGGCTTTGCAACATCTATTGTAAATAAATGGGAGAAAGTGGTCAGGTCAAGATAGAAAAACAAAATCAAGTTATTTGGCTTTTTTTGACTGGTTGAGATGAGAAAAAAAAAGAGCTTGGATAGAAAGGCACACCATTCACTGCACAAAATAAATAAATAAAACTCAAACAATTGTCATTATATACAATTTAGTGGAACCCTAACCAAATCTGATATTTATAAAGATCACATCCCTAGAATATTAAACAGGGGAATAAGAACATTTGTTTCTTAGAATATAGAGGACACATAGACAAACATATGCAGATATTTTTATGAGTGCATACATGTGTTCACTAAATAGCAAGTATATGTGGAAAAAAATTATCCGAGATTGATAGCTTTTTGTGTCGATGGGATGGGAGGAGCATTTTTCTAATGTCATCTGGCTTCCATTGCTATGGCCAGTGTCAGACCATGTGCCCCTTCTGCTTGACAGTAGTGGCATTACTATAGGTAGGGCACCAATCCAATTTAAAAACAGGTGGTTGCACATAGACGGTTTCTGGTATAACGTGGTTGATCGGAGTAGGGGTTATAAATTGGTGGAGAACCCTAGCTACTGCTGGGAGGACTTGAAGACATGGAATGTGGAGGAATTTGGCTGCTTAAAGGAGCAGAAAGCGAGGGTGCTTGAGGAGATTCGGAGATTGGATTACAAAGGCTGTTAGCAACCTTCTTGATAAGGAGAGGGGAAGGAGGAAGGAGAAGAATTGCAAAGATGGAGGAATTAGTTGGAAGCAGAAATTTACATCGTTGTGGCTTCAGCCAGGGCCTGATAGGATGATTCTATCATTCTTTCAATAGTATTGGAGTGTGCTAAAAGAGGTGTTGGGTACGATGACATTATTCGATGAGCATGTGTTGTTTAAGAACGTCTAAAATGCATCATTTGTAGTTCTAATTCCAAAGAAAAGATGTGCGGAAGACATCAATGATTTTCAGCCTATTAGTTTGCTTGGTGTTGCTGTTGTTGCATGCATATAAGTCGTGGGCAAAGGTGTCGATTTCTAGATTGAAAACAGGTGTTGAATGTGGTGGTTTCAGATTCTCAGAATACTTTTGTTGAGGTAGAATACTTTTGTTGAGGTAGACAAATCTTGAATACAGTTACTGTGGTCAATAAATGTGTTGACTCTAAATTGAGAAGTGGCGAAACAGGGCACTGTAAGTTGGATATTGAAAAGACATGATCATGTGAATTGGGAATTCTTGTTGTGCTTGATGCAAAGGATGGCCTTTGGCTACAGGTGGAGATAGTGGATTTGGATTTATATTTTGACGGTACGCTATAGGTGAATTGACAGCTGAGACAAGAATCCATCATGTCCTTTCTTGTTACCATTATATCCTTTCTTGTTACAGTGGGCTTTCAGGAGAGTGTGGTGCAGGGCAGGGCTCATCGATGATGGAGTCCATCTTTAAGAAGATAACACAGTAATGTTTTGCAAGGCAGATCTGGTACAGTTGGGCTACCCATTTTCCCAAGAAGTAATTCATCAGATAATAAATTAAATAAAATTCAGTAGGTAAAACAATCATGTAAAGGGAGAAATTAGGGGAAAAACAAAAAAGACCATGCATCAACTCATATTCTTGAGAAAACATATCCACTTCCTCGCTCAACTGTTATGGCAGCAAAATAATTCATTCATATCTTAAACCACGTTGAATTTATTTGTAGATTTTATATTCAACAAGTCTCGTCAGTTGCCACAAAATATTTCCACTCCAAGTTGTCAGTTTTCACATTGTCACTAACAAAGAAAAAGTTGGTAGGTACATTTCAATTATTTAAATTAAAAATAAAAATAAAAAGAAGAAAGGAAAGTGATAGGTACATGTCACATATAAAAAATAGAAAACCTCCCTCCCTCCCTCTCTCCATATATATGTATAATGCATGGAAACATAGATGCTTTTATACATACATTCACAAACCAGAAAACCCCAGAATTTATTATCCAACACAGCACAAAAATAGGAAATGTCTCACCTATAAATTATACAGGGAACAAGTAACCAATTCATTTTTTCACGAGTAACAGGTAATCGATTAGTGGAGGTTATAATATCTTGAGCTAAGCAAACGGTGATTATGGAAACTCTAGGAATAAATCATGATGTCAAAGCAGTCGAATAAAGGATAAAAACAAAAAAGAGATATAGGATGAATCATTTCATAACAGAGGGCAAATGATACAAGATCAGCACATAATGTACCATACCTTAATCTGGTTCTGAAGAATTTTTTCCTGGGCCTCTAATTGAGAGTCTGGTGTATTTAGATTGCTGCCAAATCTCTCTCCATAGTTCACATCTGTACCAGGAGCAAGAAAATTGACAAAACCAGAGTGAGGAAAGGGCAAGTTGGCAGGCCCACCAGGGATTGCAATCGGATGCTGTTGCGATTGACTAGTCGAAGATTGTTCTCCACTAGAGTCCGTGTTAATAGTGTCTGCCAGTGGCCTCTGTGCTTGGGGAAGTAAAGCATATCCAGGGGACCTGCACTCAAAGAATAATTTTGGTAACCTCATGCTTTTGTGTTATACATAATGACTGTTTTGTAGTGTAAAACAGTTATGAATACCAGACACATGTCTCACCACAGGCCACAGCTATGAAATGTAGCATTTCTGGATTTTTCAAAATCTTTATTGAAGTGTTCACAACTTGCACCAATAAGTGGTTCATCCATATATATAACAGTGAAGAAAAGGAACCAAAACAAAAAAACCAAAGATCTTGGCAAATCATGTCAAATTATTGCATTGTTGGTCACATTACTCCTTTAAGTGACAGATTTTGTACCCCACCAGAATCATGAGTTTTCATCTCTTTTTACCCATGCTGACATGGAGCAATAGTAAGCAGCACTCTGTGGACCAACTGGCCAAAATTTATGTAACAGAAGTAGTTCCTTGCAACCCACCTAGATCCAAAAATCCAGAAAAGAAAAGAAGTGCTACTCCATCCACGTATCAAGAATGCAAGTGTATTAGGCAAACCAATCCTAGACGAAATTCTCACTCCCAAAATGAGTAACCCATTGAAAACTGGTCTGACCCCTCAGTCACTGAACCATCAACGATGGGGGAAAGCTAATGCACAGGAAAGAAGCTTAGATAGAATGTTTTCTTGCTCTCTCTCTCTCTCAAACCTATAGAAAACAAGCTATGAGAATAGAATATTAAAGAATCTGTGAAATTTGAAAGAAAAATAACAGAGAGAGAGAGAGAGAGAGAGAGATAAAACAAGCATGATTAAGTCACATATTCTCTATATTTGTAATTGCAAAGTACATTTTTTAATAAAGACTGTCACTGACACTGGTATTTTTTCTTTCTTTTCTTTTTCTATCCCTACTAAAACTAGAAATTCACAATTTTCTTACAATGGCAAATCCCCTTTCCTAATTAAGTTTATAAACATTTTGTTAATCAAATATTCATATACCTCAACATGTTCAATTATTTAATAGTTGAGAATGTATTAACATTTATATGGGTTTTAGTTTTTTATTCCTAACATTTTCATACATTTCCAAAATTCTTGTCATTCCCCTTGTGTTTCCAAGATGACTTTGTTTCCAAGCTAACCGAAACAAAATTTCGATCCATGATTGGGAGTTTTTTTAATGTGATATAGATACCTTATTGATGAATAAATGTTGAAGCATAAATGCTAAGGTAATGGGAAAGACAAGTGATTGATTCAACTCAGGTTCAGGATAGAGGACAACAGAGTCCCCGGCCACTTAAACTTGGGGCACTTGATTGCCCTAGGGATTGCATTGAGTTGCAGGACATGCCAAGACTCCTCTCCTCTCCATTAGAACTCTAGCTTGCTGGCTGAGATAACTTATATTAAAAAATCTCAGATGATTATAGTTAATTAAGAAAAAAAAAATGTCAAAAAAGAAGGAATAATCAAGTATTTTGACAGATGAGTTGAAGCATCATATCAAATAAAGGATGCCTACCAACTTTTTGAACTTTAGTAGGCAAAAGCCCCATGTAATGCACTTTTTTCTTTTCTTTTTTCATTTGCAGGACAAGACCAACAATAATGGCAATGGGAGTAGCAACAATGTAAATGCATCAGGAAGTAAAAGACATCAGTATAACAGCGAAAAGAATTGTATACCACACTAATGTATTTGCTGAAGGATAAACAAAAGATCTCTCATATATTGAGGCCGCGGCAGCAGCAGCTTGGAGTCTGGTCTGATGCTGGCTGATAGTGTTATTTGCTACATCATCTCCAGTTGGATTCTGAGAAGGTGTACTTGCTGTGCCTGTTCCTGAACCCAACTAAAAGAGTTAGCCACCATTTTCAACATACATGAAGCTAGATTCATCAATTTATCTCAAAACCATTATATGAGCCTCTTCTTAAGTTGCATGTACAGAAAGTGTGATCAAACTATGGCACATACCTAGCTCAAAAAAAAAAAAACAAACAAACAAACAAACTATGGCACATACCATAATCAAGCTTAAGAATTAAACTATGCCCAAAAAATAAAGATATAGCTGGATTATTTTAGAATGACCAATAACACCTCAGTATGCAATATCATTTAGATGGAAGAAAATTTTACATTTCCACAAAAACTAAGGGATCTAAGATCACAAAATACCATCTAATCACATTGATGTTTCTGCTAGCAAGAAATAAGCAAAGCCATGCTACTATCTGCTGCCTGTGTCTGTTGTTGTGGATGATACTAAGCTTAAAAATGTAAGAGCAAAACATTTAAATAAATAAACGAAAAAAGTGTATATTAACATAAATCTTACTGCATCCATACAATTTCCACAATACTGATTGCTATATAGCTTATTTTCTTTTTCTGTTTTCTTTAACGAAGCTGTCATACATAATGCCGAATACTTTGGTCAGTTGGAAAGGAAAGTCCTCAAGACTTTCCAGTGAATAATCCCATAGAATATTTGGACACGTTTTACATGACTCTGATAAGCGATGCAGAAACTTTTATTTAATGAGAACACGACAAAAGTAATTTGGAGGGACCATATTGCGCAGTTTTTTATTTATTTTATTTATTGCAAACCCCTCAAATTGAAGCTCTCATCTAAGGTCAAATATCAAGTTTCACAATTTTCAATCAACAAAATTGAGTTCATTACTACGGGGCTGTTCAACATAAACAAAAAACAAAAGATATGATTACCTTGTTGGTGAGCATCTGCCCGTGATCCAGAAGTACTAGTCCCATTTTCAGGTGGTGAAACAAGGGCTCTGCAAGTAGGACATGTGTGTTGTCGCTCTAACCATGACCGGAGGCAGTGCACATGAAACAGATGGCCACAACTTAGTCTCTTGGCGGTAGTCATCTCCTCACGACAAATGATGCAGGTTGCATCACTTCTGCATGAGCATCAGTAACAAATCATGTTACTATACATCAGAGTATTTAATAAGAAGACATACGTTCAATGTACAGAATCAAGGGGACAACTCACGCATTGAGCTCTTCAGGTGTTGCATCTGGAAAACGATCATTCATATTCGAAGTGATCTTCCGATAACGAATGTAATCATTAACCCGAACCTTAAAGTTACGAAATGTCTCATAGAGCTCCCGAATCAAGTGCAGAGGCACACCATAGTTCCTGGGGAAATACAACACAAGTAAACATCATTCCATGGGTGGAATAGAAAAACTAATAAAAAGCCTCCTAAATGGGACATGACCCAATAGAAGGGAGGAAAAAAAAAGAAGTGGAAAAGAAACATTGTTAAAAAATAGTCATTTCATGGTAAAAGAGCGCAGACAGAAATTTCTCAGGACTGTCAGCGGTAAGAAAGGAAAGCAAACATTGTGATAAATTGTTATTTTTAATCAGGAAACAGAGAAGGGGGGAAGGGGGGGAAGGGGGGGAAGAGGCTACATAACCATGTCAGTAATGTATTTAAACATGTTCAAGAGTTTTTCAAAAACTCCCTTTTAAAATATATATACATATATGGAGCTTTACTAGATATCTAGAAATCCTTATGACAATAGTATTCTTGTTGGTGTGCTCACTAGAAGCAAAGGCACTCACTTCTAGGATAAACAAGATGCCAATTTGCTAGCAGATGCAAAATTAAAGATCTGCTTCACAACCGATCCACCTCCAAAGGTGTGGCAAACATAACGAGGTTAGCACTGAAGCTTGTTCATCAGATTTTTTAATAATGCAACGTACTTTTTTAAAAGAAAAAGACAGAAAAAGAAAAGAAGAGAGAAGACAAAAAGAAAAAGAAGAATGAAAACAAGAAAGAGAAACCAAGATACGAGTTAATAAGTCACCATATTCAGTTAAGGAAGTGATAATAATGCAACATACTTTTAATAAAGATGTGAATTAATGAAGCTTGTTCATCAGATTTTGTTCATCAGAAGAAGAAGAAGAAGAAAGAGAAACCAAGATACGAGTTAACAACTCACCATATTCCGTTAAGGAAGTAATAATTATAACCTTGATATTAGTCACATAAGCAAAGGCCTTAACAGACCAAGGTTACAAAGCAAGATTTTAGGTTCAGAATCACAGGGTCACTATGTTACATATTGAAAATAAGAAGTCCTATAGCATCATTGTGGAAATCACTTCAAACATAGACATGACATGTAGATACGCATGCACACGTATCTAGCAAGGCAAATAGATACAAACATTCAAACAACCATTCAACACCCACGTTAATGGTACGTGTTGTAGGTATCCATTGAGTATCATATGCATATACAAACACACCCACGCAGACAACCAAAGTCAGATAAATTACTTACACGAAAATCACAAGAAAGAAGCACAGATACATAGACAAGTGCAGCAAGTCCCTGATAAGTTCCAAGTAAAAGGTGTAGACTGCCTTTTTTTCCCATTGTCCTTCCATAAGCATGTCGCTGACGTAGAAAACATATTTTACAAATGTTGACACTGTTGTTGTTGCCAGTATCATATACCTGATATACATTAACAAAAAATAATAATAGATAGGTATCAGAACCACCTATAAAAAACATGACTCCAAAGAATTTACCCAGGTGTACATTTGGAACAAATACTGAAACGTAAAACTTAAACAAGTAGGTTCTGTAAACGAACCTACCAAAAATAAAAATGAAAAACTTCAATAAAATATGAACTTCAAAATCCTTATAAGCATGTATACCCGTACTACATAAATATAAATATATTGCTTGCTTTTACCAGTGCTGCCCATGTGCACCATGCTCAAATTACAATGCCATGCCATAAAAAAACGAAGAGGAAAAAGAAAAAAAATAAAACTGGGATATAGCATTATGTATATGCATGCATCATTGAGTGTGAAATTATCAACAATGTGCCTTTTTTGTTTTCAGCATTATAAGCATTTTTGTTAAAATCCACCTACTCTCCACCTACTTCACCCACTTAAACCTACTCCACTAAACCTAACCCACTACACCACTACCACCTCACCTACTCCACTAAACCTAACCCACTACACCACTACCACCTCCACTTCACTTACTCCTTACCTACTACACACTCACCCTCTTCTATATATAGGAATCATGAATCATTGTAATAGATATCAATCAATCAATCAATAATACAATTCTCTCTATTTCTCTATACATCAAATTTAACAATTTTTATTAAATAATAATCCACATTAGGTCCGAGTCAACTATTACCGGACCCATGAGGTGGTTAAAACCATGGTCAACTGAATGTCTACATATAAAATGTTCGATGGACTGAAAAGAGTAAGTTATGTTGCATATATATCATAATAGATATGTTCAATGAATGTTACACAGCAAATATCATAGGGATAATCTGCTTTACATTTATAGTTTTCATTATTTCTGAAATGGGAAAACTGTGATCCCATCAATTACTTCGGATCATGAAAACTAAAATAATTATTTTGTTTCAACACAAATAAACTGGTGCACAAGTTAGCTTATAGCTGGTATTGTATCATTATGGTTTCATTACATGCCTAGCTGTAGTTAAAACACTTTTTTTTTATTTTTATAAATATTATAAAGATTCTCAATGAATGTTATAAAGCCAATATAATGTGCTTCACATCTATAGTTTTTGTTATTTCTGAAATGGCATCAACTGTGATCCCATCAACTACTTCAGATCATGAAAACCAAAATAATTATTTTGTTTCAACACCAATAAACTTGTCCACAAGTTAGCTCATAGCTGGTATTGCATCATTATGGTTCCATTACATGCCCATTGGTAGCTAAAACACTTTTTGTTGTAGATATTATTTAGCATTATACAATACAAGTGAGATTAAAAACAGATACATATATACAGTGTTTTAAAAGGCACGCTTAGGCGCGAGCCTAAGCGCGAGGCGCAATGAGGCGCAGCCTTGCGCTTTGAACAGATCGAGGCGAGGTGCAGCATAAGCGCTGAGGCGAGGGCTTTTTTTCGAGGCGCAAGGCGTGGGCTTCATGGGCTTTACCCATTTTTCTACTCCAATTGTTGATTAAGTGCTTTTTTTGTGGACATACCCACAGGGATTCAAAACCATTCAATATAAAATGACCAAATGTAGTCAAAAGAGAGCAAAAAATGATAAAAGATTGAATGTTATACTTTATATCTTTTGTTGGATATTATATTTTTAATTTTTAGAAGATTGAATGTTATGTTTAGAGATTATCGAAAATGGTTATGATTTTTTAAATATTATATATATATTTGTTATGTTGAAAAATTTGCCTATTTTATAATTTTGCTTTTCTTCTACTACTTGAGCTTCACTTTGGTGAGGCGCGCGCCTCGCCTCGCGCCTAGGCTATAGGAGACCTTATCGCCTCAGTGCGCCTAGAGCCTTTTAAAACACTGCATATATATATATATACACACACATGCGTGCGCACACAAACTCACACAAAGCCTTTTATGTTCAGAAGAGCATTGTGTGATGTGCCAATATAAACATTAATAGTAATATAGTCTATATAGCCATTCCAACCATAATATGGATTGTTTTTTCTTGTTTTGACGAGGAAAGGAAATTGTATTAAAAAGCAACAAAAGGGGTGAAACCCTGATATGTGATATTTCATTCACTCAATCCCACCTAGTTTACATGTATTGTATATATTAGTGTTAACTTGAGCTTTACATTGTATATGCAAAATATTACCATATTTGAAAATGCCTCCTCTCTAATCAGGAAAAACCCAATTCTGGTGATCAAATTGACAAGTAAACTAAAAAGTAAAGTAACAACAAAGACTTACTCGAATGAAAAGAAGAGAGAAACCGAAGCCTGCCGCGTTTGTATCAAATAGCTTACAGAGTTGTACAAAAAGAGGCTGTCTAAAAAGAGAAGGAATCCCATAAAAGACACAATTCGGATGTGAGACAACATGGGAACAGACGGGGTTGTTTCGATGTACTCAACTCTCTTTTGAGCCAACCAATGCAAAGCCTTAATTAACAAAACAGCAGTGACCATAGCAAGAAATGTGACGGAAAAATCCTGGCGGAAGATGGTGATTGCAAAGAGTATTTCCATGACTTCCCTCCATGACTGCTCATTCAGCCTCTCCACCTCGGCTTCCCGGAGTGATCCAAGGAAAAGCCGTTTGGTGAATCGCCACAAAACACACATAAAGACAAGGCCCATATTGAGAAGAAGCACCAGACTGATCTTGGAGGACGATAAATGAACCATTGCAGGGTAAAACTGCCCTCTTCTGTGAAACGCATGATAAATAACCACCAGTGTGGCTACCAGACTAAGCCCCGCATAAGTTTGCAGCCTCATCATTTTGCTCTGTACGTTTTTTGCATCGAATTTATCAATCAATTCAACTCTCCCCAAAAATATATATATATAATATATATATGTATAAGAAAAATTCAACCTGAATATATGAGATCGATAACAACTGTCAAAATAAAATTGCAATGAAAGTAATGAGATTTCAAATTATTAAAATCAAATTAAAAAAAAAAAAAAAAAAACCCTCGAACTGTAAGGCGATGAGGTTTGTATATGTATAGGGAAAAGTACCTATTGAGCCTCTCTGTCTGTGGATTTCGTCGGCGATCACTCTCACCTTCGACAGCTGAAGAAGAAGAATCCCAGAATCCCCAAAAATAAAATCAAAAACCAAACAAGAAAACACAAAAAAAAATCGTGTGCAAAGTGCGAACAAGTATATCACGCTGCTTGTGTGTTTTTGTGCGTGTGATGTGAGAGAGTATGCGCGTCATCGATGGAATAAATTGCCAATGCTTGGTTGCCACGTGTCTGATTTATAATAGGTGTCAAAATCAGGAAAATTTATATACTCTGTGATTTTGATTGGTTGAAAGTATTCCCCCAATCCGTCCGGCCTCTCATTTGTACTCGGATATGACCAAATAAATAATTTCACCAAACCCAAACGGTCCGTCCGGCCTCCTAGAGTCTCAACCGAGTTGCCCATTATTCTTTAGTATATATTTATATCTATGATACATAATTTAATTTAAAAAATATATATAATTAGATTAAATAACTAAAAGATTATAATTATAACTCATATAAATTCTAATTTTTAAAGTAGTAAAATTAACCCATTTTTCTACTAATCCAAACCACCTATCTAATGTGACTTGTTATAATATGATATGGATAGGGATGAGCATTACGAACCTGACTAAATCTACTATCATTCCCAGTTAGGGGTGTAATCTAGGGGGGCTTAAACTGAGCAACCCGAACCCAGCCCAATTTTTTTAGGGCTTTAACAAGATATTTTCAAATTTGGTACGGGCTTGGGCAAATATTCAGAAATCCGAATTAAATTTGGACGGACTTAAACAAAGTTATTAAATAACCCGAGCAACTCAAAACCTAAATTATACATATATAGATATACACAAATATTAAATATATATACATATAAATTATTAGCCATTACATGATATTAAAATAATTTAGATTATTAAATCATATTGAATATATATTATATATACAAATAGCATAAAATCTTATTTTTTTTATTTCAACTCAGAAATTGTAAAGATTACTACAGCGGTATCTCTCTTACGTTATATAAATTATTTGTTTTAATGATATTAATGATTTTCTATATAAAAAATTAAATTAAATAGAATCAAAGTTTAATAATTTAATAATGTAAAAAAAAAAAAATTGAAATTGATTTACAATTCAGGCAGCTCGGGCAATTCAGGTTAACTCGGGTCGGGCTTGAACATGCAACCTCAGGTTACAATTCGGGCCTGGGTGGGCCCGAGCAGATTTCAGCACAACTTGGTCTAAGCTTGAACAACCTCTCAAACCCAACCGAACCCACCCGAATTGCACCCCCATTCCTAATTAGGAATGATGATTATCTTTTATCCTGTGCAAATTTTTTTAAGCTCAATAAAAAAGTATAATAGGTGTGAGTTTTGTTTTTCTCATCCCGTTTTACCTAACGCCACATTGATTATATTTATTAAGTGGTTGTTTGAGTTTTATTTATTTAATATTTTATTAATTTTTTTACAAAAAAATATATAAAAAGTTATAGATGTGATGTAATAATTTAGAATAAATAAATAAGCTACTTATTTACTTTTAGGAATGGCAACGAGGTGGGGCGGGGCCGGGGATTGCCCTCTCCGTCCCCGATCCCCGAAAGTATGGAACTCCCCGTCCCCGACCTCGATCCCCGACGGGGAACCTCTCACTCCCCCCACCCCCGTCCCCTAACGGGGATCAAGTTTCCCCGACCCCATAAAGGAACCTCCGGACTAAAATAAATAATTAAGAATTATAATAAATAATTAAGAATTTAAGATTAGTTGTGATCTAAAATATTACATTAAAATTAGATTAAAAAGGTAGTAATTATAATAAATAATAAAATAAATAGGACTAATTGTGACATAAAATACAATCAAATTAAAATTAGAATAAAAATTTAAGAATTATAATAAATAATTAAGAATTTATAATTAATTGTGATTTACTTAAATTAATGTTAGATATTATAAATTATGCGCATTAGAGACGAGAAAGAAAGAAAATAACAAAAAATAATGTTTGAGGGTATTATAGTCATTTTATATCTATAAATAACGGTGCTAACAGTTACATTTTAGTACAAAATCATATAAAGACTTTTTGATTATGTTTGAATGATAAGGGGTAAAGTGTTGTGGTCTCCAATCACAAGAGGATTAAATAAATTTAATCCATTTTTATTTTATTTTTTATTTTTTTTCTGCAAAAATTAGAAATAAGTTGTTGATTAATTTGATTTGAGTATGTACGGATGCATGCAGAGGTACCGGGGCTGCCAGTGATTGGGAATCTGCTGCAACTGAAGGAGAAGAAACCCCACAAGACTTTCACCAGATAGGCCAAGACTTATGGTTCAGTCTACTCTATCAGAACTGGTTCCAACACTATCGTTGTCCTCAATAACACCGACGTTGCCAAGGAGGTAAACAAACACCCCCCTCTACTTCGGTTCTCTCTTTTCTCTCAGTTCCAGAAATGCCAAAGGCAGTTTGATCTTGTGATTTACAATGCTACACTTACACTCATTTACATACCCAAACACATTTAGAAAGCCAAAATGTTATCACTATGGACATTTTACATATTTGGGGTGTTGGCTGTGAGCAAGGCACAATGATCGGCTGTGAGCAAGAGTGGGGTTCATTTGGGGTTTGTTAAGATGATTTGAGCAAGGATGGGTTCCATTTGAGTTTGTGGAGATGATTCAAATGGTTTGTCTTGTATAACACGTTAAATAGATTATTTACATAATAAATAAATTAATTAATTAATCATACTTAAACATTCATATGATCAGATTATTTTTGTTTTGAAAAGAAACTAGATGACAAATGTGATTTTAAAAATGAATCTTCTACTCAATGTGTGATCAATTTAATTTTTTAAATCAATGATTGCTCGACGAACTTTATAAATAAATGATTTAGATCATTTCGCCAGCCTTAAAATAACCCCCACCCTTGGTCAAAACAGGGCCTGTTGTGACTATGTCACAGTAGACCTCAGTCATCCATGTTTAATTGTGGTTCAAATACTAAGACTACCTGAAAACCTGCCATATATGGCTTATGTTAGAGGAATTTGTTATTGTTCATAAAAAGATGTTTTAATCATACAAATATTTCAGACTACCTAAAAATTGTTTACTTTATAATTGAAGTGATGGGTATTTTCTATCTTATTAAAGACCATCTCCAAGAGGAGGTAGCAATTTAGCTAACAAAAAAATGATTGATCCATCGAATTTAGACTCGTCTGAATTGTCCAAATTACGTAAGCTGGAAGGCCGGCTAGACGACCGCCTGGATGACTGGCGTCACCCTCTACTACAACAAAAATCACTTTTAACGGCACTAAATGCATGCCATGGATATGTTTTTACGACGCGCAATGTAAAGTCCTGCTATGATGTTCACTTCAATGACATTCCATTGTATGCTATTAAAAATCTTTTAACAACGATTTTTTTGCATATCGTAGAATATGTATTTTTTTTTTAAAAAAAAGTCACCAGTGGTCGACCGGATGGCTAAAACATGCCCAATAATATGAGTACAATACAAAGGAAACTGATGCATTTAAGAAAATAACAAGTGGCCAAACAAAATAACTGGTTCTAAATAGAACACAATCTATTTACTTGTGAAGCATACAAAGTAAAATAACAAAGAGCAAACCAGTGCTTTTATACAATATGTTCACCTTCTTACCCAAAAATTTCAAATAATTCAATGACCTCAAGTTGTTCTAAGTTCCCTTGCTATTTGCTTTAAGTACTACAGTAATAAAAACACAAGTTCACAATTTTTTGATATATTATGTTGTCACAAATTTCTCAAGTCATTCCAAAACTTGATTTTATGTGCAAAGTAGTGATAATAGATCATACAAATGCTTCAATGCACCAAATTCATTTTACATACGTTATTTGCAATTTCAACATACAAATATTCATCACTGAATAGTGTAATATGTATTTTGTAAGATCAATCAACTTTACACTATAAGGAACAATAAAAAAATGTCATATAACAGAGCACATATTTATCATGGAAGCAAATATGGTAACGAACACTAGAAAAATTATTACAATGTAGACTGAGGCCTCATTTGGCAAGTGCCCATTTTAGCCAAAAAGTCAAAAAATTACTAAAAAAACCAAAAAGCCAACAACCTATACCAAAATGTCAAAGATTCCATTTTCTCTCTATTTTTTGCACAGCTTTTCGTAAAAAGCAAAAAAATCATCCCAAACATACTAGTTTTTTTTACATCACATTTTAGCCAAAAAATCAAAAAGTTACTAAAAAAACCTATTCTCAAACGAGGCCTGAATCACACATATATCCAGGTCACCTCCAACAATAGAAAACCAACCGATACAAATGTGTATCCAAATGAAAGAGATGAACTTTGGTAATGACTATGAAAAGTTTGTTTGATATGGAAAAATAATTTATAGCATAATTTAAAGCAATGATATTTCCACTCTCTAAACTTTTCACACTCATTTTTTTGTCTTTTAGCCTCTCACAAGTGGAGTGTGAATATCTTGGTCTTCCTAAATTAGTAAATTTATATTCTATATAAAAAAAAAATCTACACTCAAGAGACAAATAACAAAAAATTCTAACAACAAACTACTCTCAAGGGAAAAAAGAACCCGAATTATAATTTAAAAAATTATTTTTAGAATTATATACAATTTTGATGGGATTTAAAGTTTGATTTATTTCAAGAATTATACTTGTAAAGAGAATCCAAATACGAGATTAAAAAAAACAAAAAAAAACAAAAACTTAGCTATAACTCAAAGAAGCATCACCTTCTTCCTATAGAACTTAGCTATTACAAAGGAAATATAACAAATTCAAAAACTGCTATTAAAACACTGTACATATCTCCAATTAACCATAAAAAAGAAAAAAAAAAAAAAAAAAAAAACCCAATAAACCCAATAACAATATAAATAAAAAAAGTACAAAAAGCAATCGGCTTTGTGAACATACAGTGATATATGTATTTATATGAAGGGAAATCGATACCATAGATAGATAAATATGAAGAAACCCCTCACCTATTTTCAAAACGACAGCTTTTGGATGATCTTAACTCACAAAATCGAACCAGGTTGTTCCTAAATTGAATTAAAAGTCAAAAATTGAAAACAAAATTGCGCAAGAAAAACCTAAATCGAAGCCAAAATTAGTCTAAAAGCGTTGATATAGAGAGAGAAAGAATGAGGAGAGAGAGAGAGAGAGAGGGGAAGGGTTGATATAGAGAAAGTAGTACCTTCTTCACTTGGTGTATATCTGCTTTGCTCCTCCCTTCGACTCTTTCTTTCTCTCTCTCAAGGATTCAAAAATTAATGCTCAACTGAAATAGTTGAAAACAAAAGTCATAGTGAATGTAAATAAATTGATAAAACATAGCTAAATTAAAGTAATTCAAACCAACAATAAAGTTTTCAACCATGAACAGACAAGGAAATTTATGAACAAACCAACATAAAAAAATAATAACAATAAAATAAAAAATCAAGAATCGATTACCTGGAAGAGGATTTGATGTGCCTGACGAGACGAGGAACTTTGGGGAGCAAAACAGAAATGGGGGGTTTAAGAGCAGAGGAAGGAGAAGAGTTTATAAGAGGATTTTGCCTTTTGATTGCCAAAGAGGTGAAATAGATGAAACCCTCCCTCTTCCTTTTCCTGGCGTTGTTTGGTAACGGGTTAATTTAATAATTTTGTTTTTTTGATTATTTAATTAAAATATGAATTATAAAAATTAATATATTTAAAATGATTTTTTAATTTTTTTATAAAAAGGTGTGTAAAAAATAAAAATATATATATATAATTTTTAATTTTTTAATTTTTTAATAATTTTTTAATTTTTTACTAAATTAACCTATTGCGAAACGAGAATTTAAAGCCAAAGAGTTAGAGCTAAATGGTAAAGTGCATATTGATATATTTGTTCTCTTTTTTAAATATTTTTTTTAGTGTTTGGTGTCAGAGTGAATTTTGTTTTCGCGCCTATTGTTTTTTGGTTATACCTTTCACAGCAACAATTGTGTGCCATGTAAAGTGAAATGTGTTCTAACAGATGGCATCCGTGTTTCGTGTATATTTAATTAATAGCATGTCATTCGCATGTTGTCACGACACGAACACATTCTTAAAAGTTTGTATCATAACCGATTAATAATTATGAAATTATTTATGATTTTAGGTAAAAATTAAATTATATTTAATTATATGAGGCAAGAAGTGAAAGTTGAATAATAAAATTTTATTCAATGAAATGTGTGTATATGACATAAACAGGAACATCTTATACGTTAATAACTCACAATCATACAACACACCTTGTTTGAACATAGGCACAAAGACTTAACACAAAAGTATAATTCATGATCTTACAAAACTTAAGGTGCTGTTTGGTAACACTTTCGTTTTCAGTTTTCAGTTTATATTTATAAAAATTTAAAAAATTCAAGTAAAAACTTGTTTGGTAAATTTTTGATTTATAAATCAATGGTCTCAGTTTATAAATTTGGCCAAAAAAGAAGTTTACATTTTGAGTTTTTAATTATTTTTTTTTTGACCACCCAACACTAGCCACTAGCCACCACCCACCACCATTTTCCACTACCGTCTTCCGTCACCACCACCCACCACCCACTCCCACCACCACCACCACCTGTCACCACCACTCACCACCCACCTGCCACTACCACCCGCCACCACCCACCACCTACCTGCCACCCACTCACCACTAGGAATGGCAACGGGGCGGGGCGGGGCCGGGATCACCCTCCCCGTCCCCGATTCCCGACGGTGATAAGTTCCCCGTCCCTAGCCCCGATCCCCGGCGGGGAATCCATCAACCCCCCCCACCTTTCCCCCTAAGGGGATCCGGGTTTCCCCGAACCCAGTTTATCCCCGTACTCATCATCAACAACAACATCATTCACAACCAGCAACATCATAAAAAAAAAATTCAAAAATCATCAACATAAACATTATCAACGGCAGCATGCAACATCATAAAAAATAAAAAAAAAATTATCAACACATCATCAAGGCAGCAACATCATCAAATAAATAAATAAATAAATAAATAAATAAAGTAGAGACAGATCTGGCGGAGGAGGGACGAAGTCGGCGATGGCGGTGGCGGGATCTTCTCAGATCTGCCGTGGCAGAGAGAGGAGGAGGCAGAGAAGGAGACCAGATGCGACCCCGACGGAGGAGGAGGCGAGAGGCGACGCAGTCGACGGAGGACGAGGCTGCGAGAGACGACGGAGGAGAGACTGACTAAGTGAGAGGGATGCGATGCGGTGAGTAAAGGAAGAGAGATCAGAGGAGGTGAAGAGAGAGAGAGAGAGAGTAGAGATGAAAGAGATAAGAAGAGAGAGAGTGTGTAGATATTACCCACCACCCACCGTCATCCGCAACCCACCTACCACCACCACCCGCCGCCACCACAACCACTACCCACTCGCTACCATCCACCATCCGCCACCGTCACTCACCCACCCACCCACCACCACCCATTCGCTACCATTTTCCACCACCGTCTTCCGCCGCCACCACCACCCGCCATCATTTTCCACCACCATCTTCCGCCGCCACCACTCGTCTCCACCCACCACCTGCCACTACTTGCCATTTCTCACTCTTTTTTTATATTTTTAAATTTTGTAAACATTTTGTCTAAACCAAACGCGTTTGTAGTTTATGTTTTTCTAAAAATAAACAAAAAATAAATAAAAATTAGTTTATAAAACTTTTGTAAATATAAACTGAAAATGTAAATGTTACCAAACAACTTCTTTTAAACAAAAGATGGTCAAGTATGACCAATAAAAACAAAACAAAACAAAAGACAAAAGCCTCGTGCGTGAGGCATCCTTAGCTAACTCCACAAAAACTCGGTAATCCTTTCACAGGCTCACTAAGGCTAAACATCTCGCTGCTCACCTACATACATAAATATAACGGAGTGAGCGATAGCCCAGTGAATAACATCCAAGTAAAGAAGTTATATGAATGAGTTCTAATATTAAACAAAATCATTCTCGTAAAAGTTTCGTATCATAACAGAACGATCTCGGGTCCAATATATTACAGAACGACCTCGGGTCCAATATATAACAGAACGACCTTGGGTCCAATATATGACAAAATGACCTTGGGTCCAACATATAATAGAACAACCTCGTGTCCAACAAATGGCGAAACGACCTTGGGTCCAATAATTTACAGCTGTATAATGATTATTTGGTCTCCTCATACCAGATAATCAGACTTATCAAATATTCAAAACGACCTTGGATCCATCTTGTCAAATATATGGAATGACCTTGGATCTATTTCAAATATACAGAATGACCTTAGGTTTATCATTTTCGTTTATGTTTCATCAAACACATTTGTAGATATCATGTTGATCAGATAGATAGAAACTCATACTTACAAAATCATAGTTTCGAAAAAAATTACCACATTAGGATATTCATAAAATAAAGTAAATGAGAAAATATATTTACTAAGATATTACTCACTATGATTCGGTTACTGATACATCCTTGCGGATGGTACTACACAATCATAAACATAAACACACTGAATTACTTTACTTAACCGGATTGTTCTTTAACTTATTCAATTTTTTTAAGTCTCATTCTAACTCATTAATTCATTTGGGATGCACAATATATGCCTAAGAATACTCAAAAGGGAATGAGAATGCCAAAATGGGTAGAACACGACTTTTCAAAATATGCTGAAATAGAATAGTTCGCTCGAGCGCAACATTGGTCGCTTGAGTAGACCACTAGGTCTGCAAAAGTGCTGGATGGTCCAAATCTAGGCTTGATGTTTGCTCGAGCCAAAGTGTAAAATAAAAGGCGGTTGCTCGAGCCAACTTCAATTGTCTACAAAAATACTGGATACATGAAATGTGCGCTCGAGCGATAGATTGTTCGCTCGAGTGGTGAGGCAGAATTTTGGAATTTCTAGAACATAGTAGAACTTCAAAGCTCATAGTTTAAAATCATGAACTTGTATGGCTTGTACACAACTTCTCAAACACTTAAAACTCTTCCATAAACATGGATGCAAGACTAATTCTCAAACCTCAGGGTCAAACTTCATGAATTCAAACTCAAATGATCATGCATATAACATTTAACTTCAAATTCTTTTTCCAAAGCTTACAAAACATGGAGATTAGCTTCAAAACAACTTAATTCTTGAATGCATGCATGATATGATCCTCAATCCTAACATGGACAACAAAACCTTGTTCAAAAGGATGAAACTCAACAAAACTATGAATGCATGTATGAATTAGCTTCAAATTCTTCATCCTTAACTCATTTATGGTATTTGATCATATGAGCTCTTGAATACACATATTTGTTAACTTAGATTCATAAATTAAGGTACAAATACATACCTAAGGTCTTCAATAACACCTATTCTAGCAAAATTTGAGTTGTCTTCCTCAATTCTTCAAGCCTCTAGCCAAAACTCCAAGTTCTCTTGCTTCTCTTTCTCTAACTTGCTCTCACTCTCTTCTAGAATGTATATTTCAAAATTTTGAGCTCAAGAATGCTTAAGTCTCTAACTTAACACAAACACAGGCGCGCGCGCGCGCACACATATATATTTATAAGTTGATTAGCTTTAGATACTAATTAAGGCTTAAGCTCACTAAGTATACTTAATTAATCAAAACTTAATTTTTCTGAACTAAATCAAATTTTAATCAAACTTCTCATTAGGCTCTAAAAATTATGCCAATCACAACGAACTAATCAATTTTGATTCCTGTCGCCATTAAGGCTTTCGATTTTAGATTATCACAGAAATCATAACAGATATTCCTACGATCCATAGATATGAAGTCAAAAACTACATTAATCACATAATCAACATTTAAATTCACACCTAGCACACAAGCACATGCATAATTAAAGAATTAAAAGCATAATACGTGACGGGGTTGTCACACATGTCATAGAAAGTTTTATTATTTACAGCAAACATTAGAAGTCGTTAAAAATTCATCATTATTAGTACTAACAGTGTAGGCGATTGACATGCCGTTGTGAGGATATTATTTACGACATGCAAAAAAAAAAAACAAAACAAAACAAAAGGTGTAAAAGTGAAAATTTACGACTTGCATTTATTGTATGTTGTTGATGTGATGCCATAAAAACCCAATTTTACTGTAGTGTTTGTCAACCGCGGTTGTCACCATTGTCAACTGACATGTCAACGGGCATCTGCCCAAAGGATAGCCACCTCCTAGATGTCTAGTGTGTCAACCGGTGTACACAAATTCGGGCAAACCCAAATTCAATAGATGTAACATTACTGTTAGCTAATGTATTATTCATCAGAGTTGGTACTTTTGACATTTGACACTCGAAGTAGAGAATTTCTGTATGTTGTTGTTATTATTATTATTATTATTATTATTATTATTTGGTTTTTCATTGCTAAATTCAAATATTAGAATAAATGAGTCAGCTATCTACATTGTTTTTCCCTCCAAAGAAAATGACATGTTAATGAAGTACATCCCTGATGTAAAATATAAATAAATAAATAAAAAATCCAAAGTATGACATGAATATCCGATTACTGAATAAAAAAAGCCGTTTGGTTGTCTTGTGGATTCGCCAA